AACACCCTCTGTAGGAACACTCTATGTAGGAATACTCTCTGTAGGACCATTCTTAGTAGGAACACACTCTGTAGGAACACTCTCTGTAGGAAAACTCTCTTTACGAACACTCTCTGTAGGAATACTCTCTGTAGAACACTCTCTTTAGGAGCACTCTCTGTAGTAGCACCCTCTGAAGGAACACTCTCTGTAGGAACACTCTCTGTAAGAACACTCTCTGTAGGAACACTCTCTGTAGGAAGACTCTCTGTAGGAACACTCTCTGTAGGAACACTCTCTGTAGGAACACTCTCTGTAGGAACACCCTCTGTAGGAACACTCTCTGTAGGAATACCCTCTTGGGGAAGGTGAAGGAAGACAACTAGAGAAGATCACTTTGTAGAATTTTGGAGGCTGCAAAAGTCTGACGTCATTTTTTCATTGTCATCTTTCATTCCCTCAATCTCTCCAGCTCTCCCTCTCTCTCAAACTCTCCCTCCCTTCTTCTATGACACACACACACACTTTCCAAGACACATTCTTTCTCCAACACGCACTCTCTCCAACACACTCTATCCCTGAAAATTTATCTTTATTGATTTCGCTCTCTCTCTCTCTCTCTGTCTTTTTCTCTTACCTAATTTAGTTATTCCCTTGATGCTTGATAGTTTTAGGAAATAAAACTAAAATGATTAAGTTGCCGTATATGTGTTTATTTATATAAAAATCAAGAAGATAACATTTATATTTTAGGTATTATGATTTTTAATGTTTAAAAAAAATGTTTTAAGTCTTAAAAATAAGCCAACTTGTCTACAGTCATTAACACGCATCTCATATACCCACCCCAAACATATAAACTATAAATAATTAGTACTCAATACAACTACCAGTTTTTAGAAGACTGGCCAGCACCAATTTATCAACTGAATGTAAAACATATGAGTTACATAGATTTGAACCCGCTGATACTAAATTAGAAGTCAGAATCTTCCTGGATTGTCTAAACTTTAATTTATGTATGCCTTCAAATAATAATTTAGCAATTTTATAAATGTGTTGGACGGTGATAAAGCTTTAAGTAGATTAATTAGACACAAACAATTTGTGTCAATAAAACAATCGACGTTCAGCTTTAATGATGATTTTACAAAATACAAATGTAAAAGTTTCGGCAAATGCCTTCATCGGTACAAAAATCAAAACATTTAAATGAGTAAACATTAAATTCACATTATACATATATATATATATATATATACATATATATATATATATATATATATATATATATATAGAGAGAGAGAGAGAGAGAGAGAGAGAGAGAGAGATACGGGTGTCCTATTGGCTGTCAACAAGCTCTCTCCCAGTGGCGCCAAATGTGTTGAAGTTTAAGTTAGTATTTATCAAAATGCCTTGAGAGAGAGAGAGAGAGAGAGAGAGAGAGAGAGAGAGATATGCACTCGTGTCCCACCTAAAAAATAGAAAAGATTACGAGTGGGAGCCTTAACCCAAACAAAAACAAAGTTAAGAAGAACGGGAAGGAAGTGATTGGAAGTAATATTTCAAAACAAAACAGAAAAAATACATTATTATTAGCATTAGAAAATGTCCGGTTTTGAGTAGGATGGCTTGCGCGATTAATGGCTCCACTCAACATGAGTCAAACAGGAGAGTTGCTTCTGAGCACAAAAACGGAAGCCAGAAAATCTCCAGTTCAAGCCATTCATTGAATCGTCCCTTAACAATTGGGGCGCCAAGTGGAGTGTCGAGATCTCCTCCTGTTAGGACACCCCCCGGGAGCCATCTCAGCCTTTTCTTCTTCTTCTATATGTTAAGGGCCCACGATAAATTTATTGATCATTTTGGCTCCTATGCATGTAGAGGGGATTTGCAATGTGTCTGTGCCTGGTGTTGATGAGGATATTTCACTGATTGAAAGTGCTACTTGTGAGAGAATCATGCACAAGGGGTTGGAAGGCTTGAGACAATAGACATAAATGTGTCTAATGTTGTCGCCTCAACTGTTCCTTTTGAAAGCGTGTTCCAGTCCTTGATTGTCTTGGGCTGGAATGAGCTGTTCCTATACTGGCTTCATGCTGGTATGAGCCTGAATTGCCTGTCATGGCCTCGTCGCTGTCTATGGGGGAGAGGGACGAGTTTCTGTTCAATACAGGAACAGTGGACCAGCCCATTATTTATCTTGTACACCATGGAGAGCCTGGATAGTCGTCGTCGTTCCTCCAATGTTTCCAGCATGCTGCCAACACTAGAGGTATTCCTGTAGAGGTTAACGACAAAGCGTGCTGCCCGTCGATGGACCGCCTCCAACCTGACAATGCTCATCTGGATAAATTGGTCCCAGACTGAAGATGCATAATTTACAACCAGACCGACAAAGGCTTTATATGCTCTTTCTTTAACACAGGAGTTGCCAATCTTTAGATTATGCCTTAAGAACCCTAGGGTCTTGTTTGTCTGGTTACATACATTCTTAATATGCTCGTCCCAGCGGACCAGTCTTTGAATGGTAACACCCAGGTACTTTACGGAGGAAACTTGCTCAAGAATATGGCCGTGCAGTTCGTATTGGTAGTGTAGAGGAGTACAACTTCTAGAGACTGATAGTGTCTGACACTTGGCAGGGTGAAATTCCATTTTCCAGCTCATCTCCCACTCGGTTAACAGATTGAGATCCTGTTGTAGCTGGCCCTGGTCAGATCTGTTGACGATCTTCCTATACACTGCTGTGCCATCTGCGAACAGTCTTGCTTGGGATGTCAGTTTCTCGGGTAGATCATTAATGTATGCTAGGAACAAACAGGGGCCAATGACTGATCCCTGGGGGACCCCTGACTTCACATCGACAAAGGAGGAGCTTGTACCGTCCACCACTACTGCTTGGCATCGGTGGCTGAGGAAGCTAGAGATCCATGTTTTAGTGGTGCCTTGGATCCCATATCTCTGAAGTTTGTGTAGAAGCAAACTATGATTCACACGGTCAAATGCCTTTGCAAAGTCCATCACCAGCACGTCAGTTTTCTGTTCTCCAGATTGGTCATCAAGTCTTCTACAAATTCAATGAGCTGGGTCTCACGTGATCTAATAACCTGGAAGCTATGTTGTCAGTCATTGAGTACATTTTGGTTTTCAAAATGTTTCATGACTGTGCTAACGATTATGTGCTCCAACAGTTTGCATACCACGCTGGTGAGGGATATCGGACGATAGTTGGCAGGGTCTGAATGCTCCCCTTTCTTGTAGTTTGGAGTGACATGCGCTGTTCTCCAGGCTTTTGGAACATTTCCTGTGCACAGCGATGATTGAAGAGGATAGTCAGTATAGGAGCGATTTCTTTGGCTAGTTCTTTGAGCACTAATGGTTTGATGTTGTCAGGACCACATGCTTTGTAGCCTGCGGACATCCTGTCGCTCGTTGATATTGCGTTGACACCATCAGCAGTTGACTTTTCCATGAAGTATGGATGGTGCACACTCGTCCTAATATACCCCCCCTACTTTTGCTATGTAAGGGCTGGTATGTGTTTTGTGTTTGCGTATGGGTCGGAGAGTATTTCGGTAGATTTTGCTATTTACTTCTTGGTATTTTGTGACGTATTTTGCTTACGAGGAACTGAGACTTTACTGTACAGTGTCTTGTGGTTGAGCAATGGCAGCAGTATTATAAATGATGCTGAAAGTGTAGTTTAGTTAATGATATATTATTCTAAGAATTCAATAGTTTGTTGATTAATTTTAATCCCTAGACAAACGAAGCTGACGAACCTGACAAGATCGTGTTCGTAACACCTGCCTGTCCCGGTTAAGCGTTGGACGCCCTCTAACAGAGTTGGCTACAGTAGATTTCTACCTGGTCAATAGTTCACCAAGTAGCGGGGACGAAACGATTGCCTGGGAACTGCCTCCTCAATTACTGTGTATATAAAATCATTAGCATGAGGCTGCCACTACCCACTTCAAGCCTCACAACTGCCACTGGTAACATGGTTAACATGATTCGTACTCTGCTTCTACCGTTATTTTAACTACAGATATTTCCACAGCTGGCAGTAGCACTGTAGTTGCTACAATTTAGGCAGATATCATGCATGCCCTCTGTCTGCCCATATAGTAAGTTATGTTCTCCAGGGAGCGCTAGGGGGTCTTTGGCCCCCATTTAATTGCTTGCTATAACATCCATTCGACCAGAGCCCAGGAAGGGAGTTTACATAGAATGTACTTGCCGTATATCTTACATGACCAGTCTCTAGAGTCTAACACTAACGTCTTACATGACCAGACTCTTGAGTCTAACACTAACGTCTTACATGACCTGATTCAAGAGTCTAACACTAACGCCTTACATAACATAGTATACATGCTACCTTCTCTTACAAAACAGGGAAACAATTCGCCTTAATGTTTTCCATAACCGAATCAATTTGTACGAAAATCTTACATAACATAGAATCCATAGACATGCACTAATGTTTTACATAACACATAATCCAAATGCATGCACTTTAGTGTCTTACATAGAACAATATCCAAATATATGCATTATGTCATAAATAAGATAAAAACTCAATGAAAACCAATAAAGTCTTATATAAAATAACATTCATAGACTTGCACTAATGTTTTACACAACATAGAATCCACAGGCCTGCCCTGGGTTCTTTCACATAACTATTCATTTCTTATCACTCATTTCTACATTTTTATTTTATGTAATTAATCCATTTCCAATTTGTTTGATATAAGCAACTCACTTAATTTACATGAGCTTAAATAAACAAATATTATGACTATGATATTGTTACATTATCAATTGTGTTATCATCAAGAGCATTACAGTGTAGAGTAAAGGTATTTTTAAATCATGTTATTTCACATCGCTTTAAAAGGGATACAAGATCTACATCATTACTAAAAATAGCCCATGACAAATTTAAATTCACTGACGTAACCACCTGCTGACATGTTGAGACTAGGCAAGCGTATGAGGCTGGAGGTCACGCCCGGGCCTGGCAGCTGACCAAGCGGGTTACAGGGCCTATACGCTCCGAAGAACCAGCCGGCCCCTGCTTCGGCCGCCACATTGGATGAAGATAAGTCATTATCGTTATCCCATGTAGAGAATGGATAGTAAGCGACGAAGCAGTCATAGATGTTGAACGCGTATCTGCCAGACCCTGCACTATAATAACTTTGCCCAGCCCAAGAGACTTTATACAATTGCGAGGAATTCGCTATTGTAAAACCCATTTTGAACCAAGTTGCATTAATGACATTGTTTTCGTAAATCGCCTCCATTATAAACGTTTTATAAGCTGATTTCGTGGCGTACTTGCTCAAGTTATCCAGCCCTATCCAGAAGTTGTTCTCGTCAATTTTGTATCCACGAACGTATTCCACAAACGTTTTGTTGTGACTGACGAGCCCGTTGTTACGAAACACGTGATATCTGTAGCCGGATGAGGTTATTTCACAGAATATGGTGGCTATGGTTCCGTCGGCGTTCTTAATATCCACCCAATACGACCCCACGGGATAGGATTGGGTCCTTAGGTCACTACAAGCAGTGGGCGCCGTGCTGCAATACGAGCCCTTCCATCCTGGTTTACAAGAGCACGCGCCAAGCGATACATTGAACTTCCCCCCAACCCCACACGGATCAACCTGCTTGTACACCCACACAGGAATCTTGCTGCACGAGTCAACGAAATCCAAGTAAGTACAGGGCTTGTAAAAGTAGCAGGTCTCGGAACTGTCTCTGACGACTCCGCTGCAGTTGTCTTTTGAGTTACATTGTGACATGCAATGGAGAAAACTTTGCGACTTCCGAAATTCTGCGCAATCTTGAAGAACTAAGGTAAAGTTGTTGGTGTTTGTGCAAGCTTTTAGCCTCGTAAATTTTGATGTTGATATGCCACTTGCGTTTGTCACCACGAAATAAACTAAAAAAACACCACACGACACGTCCAAAAGAACCCGATGATGTAGACCAAGACATCTCGCAATAAAAAATATCGTATTGAAATATGTGGTACGAGAATGCTAAGCGAAAAAGGATTCTAACATGAAATCAAACCGTCAGAAATGCACGAAAATGAGTTTTACTTTGCATATCATGAGCATTTCGTGCCCTGTAGTCATTAGTTACTAAACAGAAAACATGAAACATAGGAGCCAGAATGATCAATTCATTGATCGTGGGCCCTCAAAAAAAAAGAAGAAGAGAAGAAGAAGAAACACACATTTCTATCGAGAAAGGACGCTTTGCTGATGTAGAATTCTACGACCAACCGATGTTGTGTCTTTATATCTCATCATTGATAGATTGATCCGATTTTGATTGGTGGATAGATTTGGTGTAAACAGACGAAGCACACACATTGAATTCTGCTTTAAAATTTTAAGACATCCACTTTCCTTCTCTGGAAACATGCTCATTTAAAATTCCCAACTGGAGCCTTAAGCCAAATTGCGTTAAAAATAGATTAGTTGTGGTTCCAGTTGCTTTCATTTGAACCAGAAAATTATCAATAAAGATCAACTATTTATCACAAGTTTGTTTACCCTGAAGTGTTGACCGTTTTTTTGAACAAACTAAAGGGCTTAAGTTAACAATGGTAGTGAATAGCAAAACAACTGTAAACCTTAAGTTAAACCATGTCCAGTTTATGGACACTTCGTTAAAAATGATGCAGTCGCTCTCAGGATCACGTTATCCCAAGTAGATATTCCAGCTGATAATTCCCATGGAACTAGACAATAGCTAAATAATGCTTAGTGCAGACTGTTTATTAGTTGAAAGGCCAGGATGAAAGGCCAGAATCGGACATGATAGTTTTATGTGCCCGTCGATCTCTTGTTTTTTTTTAAGTTACGCCGCTGGGTGATTGCGGACCAAAGAACAACCAGTGATAACTCTAACATCAACCTCCGATTGTCCTACTACAACATTTGCCTAAAAAATGTCAAAAGGCGGGTTTGGAGGGTGGCTTGGAGTGCAATCTGTTCAAGAGGCCAAACATTTAAAGATTTTTACAAACATCTATACGCCAGCCAGGCCCGTACCTACGGAAGGGGTGGGGGGGGGCGAGCATGGCACTTCTCTAGGGGGCTGAGTTTTTTTTTAATATACGCACATGTTTGAAACATGAAAAGGGCCCGAACTCTGTCAGTTGCCTGGGGCCTAGAATTTCCCAGGTGCGGGCCTAAATTATGACAAACACAATGACAATTTTACTTGGACTAAAATAACTTTATAATGACGTATTTATTTAAGAATTATTTTGAATGAAATCGCTGAAATTCAGCTAAATATTTTTATTATATGTATCACAAATTCGAATAAAGGTATTGTCTTAAACCGGAAATATGTCACTTTATTTTCATTGCCTGGTGTCATAACTTTCAAAACACAGGGAAAAAAGTGTTCAATAAGATTTTCATATATTTTGTGGGAGCTTGGGAAATTGTTACCCAAGAGTTCTTAGTAGTGAAAAAAGAATTGTTCATCAACTACATGTGCAATTCTCTGCCAATTAAATCGACGATGTTTGGAATAGTTACCGTTTAGCATTGCCATTTCATATTAGCATACATGAGAGACTTTTTTTAAATAAAAGACAATGACTTCAATAAATAAGCAGGAAACTTTGAAAGTAAAAAAAAAATATCATTATTCTTGTTAAACTTTTCATGACGATTACGTTACAATGGGGTCGGGTAAAATAGTATTTAAGCAAGGGAACTAATTGTGGAAATTTGATAACACCTCGACTAGATCATTAATTTGGAATAGCCTCCCCTAGTTCCAACAAACTCGGCATTGATTTTCTCCGTCGTCTATATTGGAATTTTACAAATATTTAACAGCCTCCGGAAGCTTTCGGGGACAAACTTTCTTCGGTGTATCTACATGGCCATACGAATCACCTAAGCCTTGTTGTTCGGCCACATAAGTTTGACCGAGTTTCTGATGCACAATCTCGTGCATATTGTTTGAAGCACCTTTCCTCAGAACAGACCTTGGGTTTTTGAGGTAAGAAGGATGAGGACGTTGTATTTCAGCCGGCATCTTTTTGATCTTGTCTTGATCGTTGTTTTTTTTGTATGCGATCCTAGAAGTTCTATCGGTGTTTTTTACACTGTCACAGATAAAAGATTGAAATAATCCTTGTCTCGGATAATGTATTGTTTCTCCTAAGTTAGGATGAACAGGAAGTTAATTAGATAGTACATGTCATGCGCAGAATAAGCAAGTGGACGACAGTGACATGGAAGTCTCATTTTCGCTCTTGCAATGGTTCAATGCATATCATGCAACATCTTAATGTCGACTCAACAGAGCCGAGTGGAATATGAATGTGAAGTGATTAAGTTATAAATAGGACAATCATGTTTGCTCTAGTTTCTAGAGATTTATTCCATGCCATCTCTCTATATTTAGTTAATAAACTCGTGTGTGATGCGACATCATGACGTTCTGGGCCTCGTGCTTTTAAGTAATCATGGGTGTTTGTGAATGTTGATAATCAAACACTACAACGTAATAATACAGCAATTATTACATTAACAAACAACGTTATTATTACGAAGATGTTTACAGATATTACAAGAGGTTGTTACATGCACTATTTCGATCAGCAATGCTTTGTTGGTCTTAGCGTTATGATTTTCTAGGTGTTTTGATTCCAGACGTTCTTCCAGATCATCCAAAAAAATCTTCTTGAAAGTGAAGCTCTTGGCCCGATCCAACATTATAGACATGTGGTCTTCTTTTTGTTCCGACTGATTCTCATTTTGTGATAAGTCAATGGAAACATCTTATTTTATTATTGGCCACTGGAAATATCTTATTTTCTGATTAGTCACTGGAAATATCTTATTTTGTGATTAGCCACTGGGAATATCTAATTTTGTAAATAGCCACTGGCGATATCTTATTTTGCGATAAGTTACTGGAATAATCTTATTTTGTGATTAGTCACTAGAAATATCTGATTTTGCTATACGTCACTGAAAATATCTTATTTTGCGATAAGTCACTGGAAATATCTTATTTTGCGATATGTCACTGTAAATATCTTAATTTGTGATTAGCCACTGGAAATATCTTAATTTGTGACTAGCCACTGGAAATATCTTATTTTATGATTAGTCACTGGAAATATCTTATTTTGTGATTTGCCATTGTAACTTCTTATTTTGCGATAAGTCACTAGAAATATCTTATTTTAAGATCAGCCACTAGAATTATATTATTTTGTGATTACCCACTGGAAATATCTTATTTTATGATTAGCCACTGGAAATATTTTATGAATATCAATGGAAATATATATCTTATTTAGTGATAAATCACTGGAAATATCTTATTTTATGTAAGCCACTGGAAATATCTTATTTTGTGTTTAGCCACTGGAAATATCTTATTTTATGATCAGCCACTGGAAAGATCTGATTTTGTGATAAGCCACTGGAAATATTTTATTTTGTAAATAGCCATTGGAAATATATTATTTTGCGATAAGTCACTGGAAATATCTCATTTTGTGTTTAGCCACTGGAAATATCTTATTTTGCTATAAGTCACTGGAAATATCTTATTTTATGATTAGCCACTGGAATTATCTTATTTTGTGATTAGCCACTGGAAATATCTTATTTTATGATAAGCCAATGGAAATATCTGATTTTGTGATAAGCCACTGGAAATATTTATTGTGTAAATAGCCATTGGAAATATCTTATTTTCGATAAGTCACTGGAAATATCTGATTTTGTGATTAGCCACTGGAAATATTTTATTTTCCTATACGTCATTAAAAATATCTTATTTTGTGTTTAGTCACTGGAAATATCCTATTTTGCTATAATTCGCTGGAAATATCTTATTTTATGATTAGCCACTGGAATTATCTTATTTTGTGATTAGCCACTGGAAATATCTTATTTTATGATAAGCCACTGGAAATATCTGATTTTGTGATAAGCCACTGGAAATATTTTATTTTGTAAATAGCCATTGGAAATATCTTATTTTTGCGATAAGTCACTAGAAATATCTGATTTTGTGATTAGCCACTGGAAATATCTTATTTTGCTATACGTCAGGGAAAATATATTATTTTGTGTTTAGTCACTGCAAATATCTTATTTTGCATTACGTCACTGTAAATATCTTATTTTGTGTTAGCCACTGGAAATATCTTATTTTGTAATTAGCCATTGGAAACTTCTTATTTTGCGATTAGCCACTGGAAATACCTTTTTGTGATTAACCACTCGAAACATCTTATTTTGTGATTAGCCACTGGAAATATCTTCTTTTGCGATACGTCACTGGAAATATCTTATTTTATGATTAGCCACTGGAAATTTCTTATTTTGTGATTAGCCATTGGAAACTTCTTATGTTGCGATAAGTCACTGGAAATAACTTTTTTGTGATTAACCACTTGAAATACCTTATTTTATGATTAGCC